TTTTGGGAGTGTTTTCTTGATTGCTCTCATTGCTCTGGACCGCTGTATTTGTGTCCGGCATCCAGTCTGGGTCCAGAACCACCGCACCGTACGTCTGGCCAAGAGGGTGATCGGTGGACCCTGGATTCTTGCTCTACTCCTCACCTTGCCAGTCATCATTCATGTGACTACAGTGACTGACATAAGGGGGAAAACAAGGTGCACTTTTATTTTATTTTATTTTTTTCCGTTAAATTTTTTTTTCCCTTTTGTCTTTTTTCGTGACGAGCAACGGATCGAAACCCTCACAAGAGGGTGATCGGTGGACCCTGGATTCTTGCTCTACTCCTCACCTTGCCAGTCATCATTCGTGTGACTACAGTGACTGACATAAGGGGGAAAACAAGGTGCACTTTTAATTTTTCACCCTGGACCACAGACCCTGTAGAGAAGATGAAGGTGGCCATCACCATGTTGATACTCAGAGGTAGCATCCGGTTCATTATTGGCTTCAGTGCACCCATGTCCATCGTTGCCATCTGCTATGGGCTCATTGCCACCAAGATCTACAGGCAAGGCCTAATTAAATCCAGTCGACCCTTAAGGGTTCTCTCTTTTGTGGTAGCTGCCTTTTTTGTCTGCTGGTTTCCATATCAGGTAGTGGCCCTCATAAGCACAATCAGAATCAAAGAACTCTTGGGTGGAATGAGCAAAGAATTTAGAATTTTAGTGGATGTGACAAGTGCCCTGGCCTTCTTAAACAGCTGCCTCAACCCAATACTCTATGTGTTCATGGGCCAGGACTTCCGAGAGAGACTGATCCATTCCCTGCCTGCCAGTTTGGAAAGGGCTCTGAGTGAGGACTCAGCCCAGACCAGCGACACAGCAACCAACTCTACTTCACCTTCTGCAGAGGCTGAGTTACGGGCAATGTGAAGAGAGCGCCTTGGGGCAGTTTTGAGCTTCCAGTTCTGCTTCATCTCACCTTGAGTTATATTGAGCCACAGACATTCCCTGCTTATCTTTGGATTACACAGTCATCAAATATTTTATGTCTCATGATTTGGGTAGAAAAATGAATATAAAGCTACTCTTGGTGTGTTTTTTTATTTTGGTCATTAGACCTCAGCTTGCATGGTCAGAGTTTAGAAAAGATGGGGAGGTCATGCATCCTAATCTGCCCCAAATGGCCCTGAATGATACCTAAGCTATAATTATTAATAGTGCCCACTTCTATTTTCAAAAGAGTGATCCTATGGACAATAAATTATATTGTCACCCTAGGAAAATGAAGGAGGAAGTATAAAAGAGTGTGGCTTAATTTGGGTAGGTATAAAAAGAGTTACTTTATATAAAGTCCTCAGCCTTTATTGATCAATGAGTAAAAATCTAAAGTTATCTAGTTGTAATCTGAATACCTCTAGTTTCTTGAGATCTACACAATAGTGCCTAATCCTTTGTATCATAAATTTCGGGAAACTGATTGTCCTCCCCTTAGGGGAGACCCCAAAGAACCTGTGTTTTCACTTGTGACTCTGAGTCTTGCTTCAACAGAATTAGTCAGGCTCACGTAGTATCTGGTTCTTGCTATCTTTGTTCTGAATGGAATTAACACAGTGTGGAACTCAGGCATTTTCCTCAACAGCTACTTGCACAAGATCTTTCAATGTGGAGCACACATTACAGAAGTTTGACAATGTGGGAGTATACACTGGCCAGCAACAAATGTGAAAGCCTCCAGCTGTACTTTAGACACCCTTGTTTTTAGAAATTCATGTTCCCTCTTATCTCCTCATTTTCAGATTTCTGCTGTTTTGCAATGAACAGAAATTACCCAGCAGACCCTTGACTCTTTGCTTATCTCCAGGTCTATTTTTCAAACCCATTAGTAATAGCGTCCTCCTCAAGAAAACGTCTGGTGCCAGCCCTTGAAGGAATCACTTAATACATCATTTTATTACAAGTAAGGAAGAGAAGAGAAAATGAAGAATGAACAGAAAAAAGAAGCATGAGAGAGAAGGCTAGGATTGTCTATAGTCAACAGGTAAAGGAACATGCACTTGGTAAGGGGCTGATTGATAATGGCTGATTTCATTCCAGCTCAAGTGGAGATTCCTGAGGTTTGACTATACGGTGTGGCCCTCAGGAATCAACCCCTTCTCTAGACTCCAAAAATGACATTTTCTGTACAACACCCAATAAGCCCTTCAAGCCTTGCATTACATCTTCTAGTGCATTTATTTAATTAATTCCACTAAGCAGTGAGCTCTTGGAAGGAATCATGCAATCCTTCCTTAAATGGTGGTTTAAATAAAAGTTTTGTTTCTGTGCCTTTTTAATAATTACCTAGGGTACTTGCATATCCAGTGACTCTCAGATCACCAGCTTCATGAAGTCAGCTGAGTCCTTCTTCCTATTTTCACACATGAGAAAATTGAGGCCAAGAAAGAAGAGGGTATGATAAGTTGGGACCCGCCACAAGGTTAGAGGGCACAGTCTTTATACAAGTCTACCCTCCCTTCTGACACCAACTTCAGGACTGGGAGACTCCCCAAACCACCCTCAGGTTTGATATTTTGCTAGAAAGACTCACACAGAGAGAATAGAGCAAATGGTCTGAATAAAACAGAGATGGGAGATGACGAAGCCCCAGATTGTAAGGGGCAGAGAGAAGTCACACACTCACAGGCAGAGAGAGGAACTTCATAATGTTCCAGTTCCTCTAAGGTCTAGATGTGGTCTCTGCAGTTGGTTTTCTTGAAGCTCCCTTGTGTTCTTCCAGCAAGTAAGTTACCTTAAGACAGTTTGAGTGGGTTTCTGTAATTTGCAAGTAAACGATTCATTTCTAAGATACCTATGATCATGAATATGTGATGCTGTCTCTGACTGAGATATACCATTATGAAGGGAATGGGGAAGAGATTTGGCTTGGGGGAAGGGGGTACTCTTCAGGTAATTTAGGGGAATCTCCTGGTCTTGCATGACCCAGCAAACAGAGGAGGAAGTGGAATGGCCTATGATGTAGCCTAAGAACAAGGATAAATGATAGTCCCTGTCTGCTCCCAAATCCTGACAATATCCAGCTCAACCCCAAATGGTGCCTCCAGTTGTGACAACTGATGTGTCTGCAGACACTGTTAAATATATCCTGTGAGGCAAAGTCACCACCAGTTGAGAGTCACTGTTATAGTGTTAAGACTACCGGGCTCTGGAGTCAGATAGATCTGTAGTCTACTCTTGTTTCTGACCCTCCTCAAACATGAGTTCCTGGTCAATCACATCACTTTGAGTTTCCATTTTCTCCTCTGCAGAATAAGGGCAATTTTGTGGTGAAAACTGATTTTCAGGTGAGGATTAAACAAGAATAGACCTGGAAATCTTCTAGGCTAGGCAGAGGTAGTCTTTAACAAATGCTGGCTCTTGGTCATCACCACATTCTGTGCTGTGTCATGGCCTCATCCTGAGCCATGCATTGTAGGAGTTCAAGGTCTAATCAAGAACAAATGCTCAGCTCATAACAATAGTAGTTACGACTTCTAAACATGATCCACATGCCGTGAGCTTCTCTTTCAACCCTCTCAGCACTCACCTCATAGGCTCTTGAGGATTTTATGTGTTCGTATGTGTAAAGCACTGAGCTATGAGCTACTGCCAATGTTGAATAATCTTAGTTATAATTAGTATAGCCATTGTATAGATGAGGAAGTTGAGATTTAGACTGGTTACACTAATTGTTTGAAGCTCCCAGTCAGAAAAGAGGTAGAGACAGAATTTGAGCTCAGCCAGACTGATCTCACTGGAGTTGTGCTGTTAGCCTCCTCCCACCCCATATTTCCTCAAAAGACTCAAGTTCACTCTACCCACCCTTCAAAATTCTACAAGACATTTAGAAGATATGATGTACTCATAATCTCTAAACCATTGACTTTAAAATGTCGGTACAACAAAGAAACATGATTATGCAATGACACAAGAGGACAAGCCAACCAGGCAAAGTTACAAAATCATGGAGACCCTTAGTTCCAAGGTGGGGAAGAGAACCTGTGAACCATGGATGATACCTGTACTGATTATAATGACTGCTGTTAGATGAACTCCTAATATGTGCCAGTCAGTGTGCATTTTGTCATCTTTAATTACAAGATCCTTGCTTTGGGACAAGTATCATCATTGGGTGATACAAGAAGAAACCATGACTCAGAGAGGGGAAATGACTTGCCCAATGTCACATTATTAAGGGGTGCAATTGAATGGATTACCACAGATTTCACATGGAAACTGAGCGCTTCCTCATCAGCTTACCCTACTTCTCCAGCATATTCAATATCATATGCTTTAAAATAACAATATCAGTCCTTCTGCTTTTTCTTCTAACTACATAACTTCCTCTCCTATTCCCACTCTCACCGATGCTCTTGGCCGATATTTTAATGAATAAATGGTCACAATTAGAGGTGAAATTTTTAACCTTCGCTGCCCAAACCCTCCAATCTACTTGCACCAGTTGCTGTGAATAAAGAGCTCTTTTTCATTCCAAAGACTACCCTCTCCAAATTTGCTCTGGATCCTTCTCTTGCTCAGTTTCTCAAGAAACAGTCCCTTGCCTTTTTGTTTCTCTTTTTTCCCACCTCCCACCCCACTGATATTTTCTTTCTAATAGATAATTCTCACTGTCACATAAACATTATCACATTCCATTCCTTTAAAAAGAAACTATTCCTCACTTATAGTTTTTTTTTCTAGCTTCAGCCCTATTTCTGTGAAAAGACTTCTTTCTTTTCTTTTTTTTTTTTTTTGTCCTTTTTCGTGACCAGTAAGGGGATCGCAACCCTTGGTGTGGTGTCGCCTGCACCGCGCTCAGCCAGTGAGCGCACCGGCCAGAAAAGACTTCTTTCTTGAAGAGAATTCATAACCAAACTTTGGAAGGGGTTGTCTCTAATTGCTCACTTCCCTTTCTCAGTTTATGTTTTCTCCTGAAGTTGTTCCACACTGACCCTGGTCCTCAGCAGCTCACTGCCTGTGCTCTACTCAAGGACGCTTTTGACCTCCATGAGGCCAAATCCAGCAGCCCCTTCTCAGTTCTTATTCTAATATTTCAGTGAAATAAGCCCCAATTGGGCCTCTTCTTCCTTTTAGAGACTTGTTTTTCTTGTGCCTTGAGACGACACACAAACACATTATTGGTTGTCTCTGTAGCACAACCGCCACCTCTTTTTAGTCCAATTTACTAGCTTTTTCTTGTCTAAATTTAGGGGTGTCCCATGGCATGTACCTGCCCTCCCTATCCCTATTCTCTTTATACTGTTTCTTCACAGGTCATATCATCCAGTTTCATGACTTTAAATATCACACTGATAACTTCTATTCTAAGTCATTAGCCTTGGCCTGTCCCCCAGAGCTTTCACCTGATATAATCAACTGACTTCTTAACATCCCACCCACGGGAACCCCTTAGACACCCTAGATCTAATATTACCCCAACCAAACTGTTGATTGTCCCTCCTCCAAATTTGCCATTCTTCAAGTATTCTGTATCTATTTGGAGCTTAAACACTCAGTTGTTAAGTCTTCAAATCTAGGGTATGGAACTTATCTTTGATTTCCGTTTCGCTCACCACCCAATTTAATCCAAGTTCTATTGATTCTGTCTACAAAACATGCTTAATACACAGTCAAAATCATCTCCATCACCTATCCTTGTCTGTAATTTATGTCTGTCCTGCGTATGTGCTCTGACCTTGCAAATAGCTTGTTCCTGCTCTTGCTGCCGCCTCTAAAATACATTGTCCAGACAGAAGCCAAATGATCTTTTTAAAGGAAAAATTAGACAATGAAATTAATCCTCTACATGGGCTTCTAAACGTCTAATGCAAGCTTAGCTTACCAGGCACCCCTGTATCTGCCCTGTTGATTTCTTATACCTCGCATAGCCACACTTGGCTTACACACTGTGCTCAATCCATACTGAATTCTTTCGATTTTTTTGAACATGCCAAGCTCATTGCCATCGTAGGAATTTTGCATTCTTTATTTCTTCTGCCTACAATGTTTTTATTTTGAGCTTCTCACTCCTGACTCTCTCTGAACGTT